GGGGAGGGTAGGATTGCAGATTTTTCTGACATAATAGTCTTGGTCAGTATTTACGTCATTTTATCAGTCAGTAAACACGCCATTTTAAACTCTTCTCAGGACACAAAAACGGTGCGGTGTGGGTGTAAAGGAAAAATTATCAAATGCCAGAAGAAGAGAGCAAAATAACATAGAAATAATAGGGGAGTGGGGTCGGACGTCGGACGGGGAATGGAGGTAGGTTTTTTTTTTTCTTTCTTCTTTTGCTTCAGTTTTTCGAAGGCTATTAGTAACTACCGTCGACTTTTAGCTCATCTCAAGACTTAAGAAGAACAGGGCGGACATTATGAGTTACCGACCTTGATGAAAAGAGCAGATGATCTCCATGGGCCGCCAATCTCCAGCATGTTTGGTTTGCCACCCACACCTGGGGAATTTATCACGGGTCGGGCTCTGGCTCCTGACTGGGATATCCGTGGGCGCCCTGTGGAGACCGTGATCTATCAGGGCCAATCACTCAAGTGTCAGGGTCTGACTCTGTCAGTCAAACGATGACAGGCCACTGGTCATTATAGCAGGCAGCACCGGCCGCTGAAGGTTGATACCATGCGAAAATCGTTTTTGCTACCGGTCTCTCTCTCTCTCTCTCTCTCTCTCTCTCTCTCTCTCTCTCTCTCTCTCTCTCTCTCTCTCTCTCTCTCCCCTCCTGACTCTCTCACTCACTCCATCTTCTTGTTTCTCTTTTTTCTGTTTTTCCCCTTTTTTTGTACGCCCACCTCATCCTCCTCCTTCCTCTCCTCCTCCCCTACCTCCTCCTCCTCCCCCCCTCTCTCTCTCCCTCTCTCTCTCTCTCTCTCTTTCTCTCTCTTTCTCTTTTTTCTTTCTCTGCCTAACTTTCACATAGCTTCTTAGTAGTGCCCTCCTCTGGAACCATGATAGTACATGTAGTAAAAAAAATAATTTTATATGCTAATCATCAGTATCATTTGTATGTATTTAAGCGCGCATATGAGCATGGTAAAGCATGCATGCCTATCTCTGTGTCTTACAAAACTCTCAGATGTGCAAATCAGTAACTATGTATGTGTGTACGTGTGTAAGTGTATATGTGAGTATGTGTGTATGTGTGTGTCTAGTTTAGAGAGAGAGGGAGAGAGAGAGAGAGAGAGAGAGAGAG